AAAAAAAAAAAAAAAAAAAAAGTTTATCTTCCTTACAAACTAATTATATTCCATGCCTGAACATAGGAGGAACGTAGCAAAACTGGGCAGTTCTGAACAAGATTTTTTTCACATTGCAATAATCTGTGACCAACTAAAGCACTGCCGGAGTGTCAGAATCAGAATTCAAGCAAGTCAGACTTGCTTTAGATAAGCAGTGCTTGCATTATTTAAGGTCATTTGAAAACTCATTCAAGAGGTCGTCTGTTTTCACTTAAAACCAGTTTAGCTTCACCAGCTGAAGAGCTTACATTTAGAAATAACATTGGACTGCAAGTCACCTATTCTTTGACCTTGAGCAAGACCTTAAATAGGCTAATTAAATAGGCCGGGCGCGGTGGTTCACACCTGCAATCCCAGCACTTTGGGAGGCCAAGGCGGGAGGTGGGGTTGGGATGATCGCTTGAGCTCAGGAGTTCAAGACCAGCCTGGGCAACATGGAGAAACCCTGTCGCCTCTATTAATAAAAATACAAAAATGAGCCTGGCGTGGTGGTGCACTCCTGTGGTCCCAGCTACTCGGGAGGCTGACGTGGGAGAATCACCTGAGCCCAAGGAGTTCCAGGCTGCAGTGAGCCGAGATCGCGCCACTGCACTCCAGCCTCGGCCACAGATTGAGACCCTATCTCAAAAAAATTTTTACAAAAATTAATTAAATAGAAAATACTTCATTATATTTCTCAACATCTTTAAGGTTCTTGGTTGAAATGACTGGGCTTCATTATATACCAAGCCCAACTTCGTAGACGATCACTTTGCTTTCCCTTGCAAAATCCTTTGCCTCAAAGCCATTGACAATCGAAAGCAGGCTTCTAATAGAACCAGCAGTCTTCATAGGCTTTTGGTCTAGATCCCCGGACTTGGTCAGAGCGCCAGTAGAGGAAAGGCCGGGGAGGAGTGGCTGGGCCTAGAAGGCGGGGCTAGGAGGGCAATGGGGCGGGATAGAACGGATTGAGTTACGTCATTTCCTTCTGCGACGTTACCTAGGAGTCCAGCGGCTCCAGGGCCAGCAGCGATTGGTAGGTCAAGGGAAAAGTGTCCCTTCCCTCTCAGCCTGTACTACTATTCCGCTAGCGTTTGTGGCTTTTGTTTTGAGCCTTCGTTGTTTCAAGGCCCTAAAGAATCCACACCCTTGATATCCCTTCCCCATCCGCCCCCCTTAAGGATGTTTCATGCCTCTAAAGCCCTTCAGCGAGGCCTTCAGCTAGTTTACATCCTGCCTGGGAGTAACCCCTTCCTCAGAGCTTCCTTTCTTCGTCCTCGGTGAAGTTGCGTCGAGCTGGTTGACCAGTCGTTACCGCTCATTGTGCGCGTTCACAGACCCCC